CATTTGAGAAAGCTTAACCGTCGCTATATTGCCGTATGGGGGCATCAGTGTTTCACAAACACATCTTGTTTTAGACGGGTACCTGTAAAGTGCGAAACGAAATAGAAACGAAACGAAACGAACTGAAACGAAACGAAATCTGCCGAAACGAAACGAAATCTACCGAAACGAAACGAAACCTACCGAAACGAAACGAAATCAAAATGAAACGAAACGAAATCAAAACGAAACCTGCCGAAACGAAACGAAACAAAACTATCAAAATGTTGTTTTTTTTTTTTTTTTTTTTTTTTTTTGTAAATCAAGGTGCATGTATTTTATTATAAATGTGCAACTACATGTGGACTTTTTTTTTTACTTCAAATAAAATGCATATACTTCAAGCACTTGTTAATATAAAATTTAATTACCGATAAATTTTCCCTTCTCAGTCTAATGATGCATTTACATGTTTGCAAGCTGCAAATATGCACGAGCGTACTATGCATGTATAGTTTCAATATGTGCATTATTTTATAATTTTTATATCTTACTCTTATTTTCAGTCCTTATTTATCTAGATTCAACATATCTATCAAAATTGATGTGTTACATGTAAAGGCTCGTTTATGTACGGGTCGAAATAAAGTCACTGTACTGTTGTATTGCGAATGTCTTAAAACACAAGATAAACAAGAGACTTAGAGTATTTAGTATTCCATTCCAAAGTGTCTGTTTTTTTTGTTCAATCAGATTATACATGTAACTCCAACCGAAATCTTGTGTATCCTTTCTACGTACATACGTTCCTATTTTTATCGAGGTAATTTTGGAGGAAGAAAGGAGTGGTTTGCAATAAAGAGGCCCGACCATAGACGTCTTAAACGATTTAACTGACAAGTAAAAAGTCTCTCGAAGCGAACGATGTCATTTCTAAGTAGGTAAATTATTCAGTAAGATATTAACAAAATATGACATAGGTGTCGGGAGCGGCGGGGAGGGGGGGGGGGGTAGCCTCCATCCCAACTTTCTTGCAAAGATATATATTACATAGGCATTGAAAACTGGGGTTTACCTTTTTTGTTGGTTAAGCGCCCCCCAACTTTCAATTTCCTTCCGACGCCTATGTAGGAACTTGAAGGGAAACAATTGCCTCTGGTGCTTGAACTATATAAACTTCATATGAAGTAAAAATAGACCATATAAACATTCTGAAAGTTTTGTTTCGTTTCGTTTCGGCAGGTTTCGTTTTAATTTCGTTTCGTTTCGTCTTGATTTCGTTTCGTTTCGGTAGGTTTCGTTTCGTTTCGGTAGATTTCGTTTCGTTTCGGCAGATTTCGTTTCGTTTCAGTTCGTTTCGTTTCGTTTCGTTTCTATTTCGTTTCGCACTTTACAGGTACCCTGTTTTAGACAGCAGCACAAGGTGCACAATTATCATTTAACCTCTCAATCAAATATCAAAAGTAAGACATACAAACGTCACAAGGTTTGTACGGTACGTATTGGAAGCAACTACAGTGGTACCTCATTTATCCGGACGCTTTGGTTCCTAGTTAAATTTCCAGATATGTGAAGTGTTCGGATACCTGAATTACCAGTTAAATAAGACAAAATAATGTTAAAAATTTTTGTTCCGATGAAAAATCGTCCGAATACTGAAGCATTCGGATATATTGCATCCAGATATCTGAAGGTTCACTTTATTAATCATCTAAAACTAAAATTTTAGATGTGAGCATCCAGCAGTGTCTTTGGAAACTAATCTTTCAATTTTGGCTGTATAAAGTAAAAAAGAAACTCTATTGTTTTTGGTGATGAAGTAAATAAAGTTTTTAGTATGCAGTAAATCGACAAAAACCGTGTGTCGCTTCTGATTTGTATTAACAAATAGTAGACTGTCATGCTTGGGGACTCATTCAATTAATTGTAGAATGCTAAGAGTAGAGACAAAAACATTGTGCTGAAAATTACCTTCCATTAATGATAGTGTACCCGAGCTCTTAAGAAAATGGAAATTCGTCTTTTGCTTAATAAAAAGTATTCAACAGCTGCAATACTACAAGTATCTATGATTTTTCCTTTTTATTAAAGACTCATAATACATTGTCATATAGGACTTGTAAAATACTTTTGACTGCATATAAAAAGCTTTACCAAGCTATTTTGAATAGATTAATAGCGAGTGCAGCAAGGGTCGCAAAGCGATGCATGTAACTGCAAGCTCTGATGAAAATGCCTGGGCAAAGAGAAAATTCAGACTACTCCACATTCATTCCTAAGAATTTTTTACCGCAGTAATTTAGATCCACAATGCATCGCTTCATACACAAACTCTAAAGCAACATTCTCACGAGAATAACAACAAAAGTTAAAGGAATAGTAAACTTGTCTTGATTTAATGATTTTATCTGTTTATTGCAGAAAGATATTCATAAACTGATTGAAATCAGCCTTGTTCAGCCTTCCGTTTGGTAAAGCAACATACAAACGACGTCATATGACGTCAGAATGTAATACGCACCGAATGTCACATGCGGATTTACATGTCCAATCTAAATGAAAATGGATAAGTATATGCGCTCGCCCTAACGGTCGCACCGTCAACATATTAAAGCTACATAGTTATTTCAAGCTACAAAATTAATTATCTTAATCAAGAAATTGTTCTGCAGTGTTCTGGACCTGATCTTACCTGGTCAAATGTAAAATGTACATTATCTTCCATCTCCAAGTCGAGTAACTGACAAAATTGAACTGCCACCCCTCTCTGAGAGTTTACTCTTGGACTCTGGTGGATTACCGTAGAATTTAAACTTCTGAGATAGATCACAACGGTGTCAGTAGGCGAGTACCATTTCGGGAGAACGTCAACCATGTCAACAAGGTCAATATACTAAGCAACACGACACATGGCTATACTTTTGCCCGAAAACTATGCCTAATCTGTTCTTGTAGAATCCTTTCAACCAATTTATGTCACTTCACACATATTTTTGCAATAAACATCACAGGATGCATCAAAATAACTTTGCAGCGTGCAGCTAACCATGGAGGCTGCCATTTATTTTTACTAGCGCCACCTATGTAAAATTGCAAAGGGAGATAACTCATTTGAAGAATCTTGACAAAATCTCGATTTTAAACACCTTGTATCTTTTCAATACTTCGTTTGCACAAAAATATTAAAGTAAATTTTTATTAAGCCTTCCATGTTCACTTGAATTATGTATTAAGTTTTTGTACTTCTTCTAGGGTTTTAAAGATATTCTTTTCTGAAATAGGCATTTTTTGCACACTATCTATACAAAATTACACCTCAAGTACTTTATCCCTGGCTATACGAAAAAAGAAGAGTTATAACAAAATCAACTGTTTATATTCATTTTAGACCCAAATGAATATATTAAACCCAATTTTATTGAATTTGAAGATGGTCGATGAATCACCTTTTCTGTACTGTCTGCATGATTTTTACACGGAGCCGTACTTAAATGTTTGAATCAAAATACCAAATTTTAAATAATCCAAAGTATTTTGAAAGTTGAAAAAATAGAAGTTTAAAGTAAATTTAAGATAATCAAAAGACAAAATATGTTACTGAATTTAAGATTGTTAAGCGAAAACTTTCTGAACAAACGATAGATTAATAACTCAAAAGTGAAAAATACAGAAATCGTTTTTGGATATTTGAATTTTGAAGATTTGAGGTAAAAATCAAAAATATCAACAACAACAACAAATAAAATAAAATCTTTTTAGAAATTTGAAAAGTTAGGCTTTTGAACTAATATATTAAAGTTCAATATACCAAATCAGTTTAAGTTTCTTGAAATTTAGATACATGAACTAATATGTTAACATTTTAAAACTGAAAATCTTTTCAGAAATTTGAATTGTTAAGTGTTGCTCATACCGCGTAGGATTCTTTTACAATTGTAAGAATCAGCGCCATGGATTCTGTATTTGTTGTCATTTCTCGTAACGTACATTGTATAAAAGGCATATAATTTCCAATAGTTTTTTCATTGAAGCAGTGTACACCTTTCCCCACTCTTTAATAACATACTTATTTTAAAAAGGTGAGTAGAATATTTTGTAATGTGCAACCTCCCTGAAGATGGAATATGTACTTTTTTCTTTGATATAGATTAAAATGAGCAATGATTTCTCTTAACAGTAATATATAAAATGTAGGTTTATTATTTTCAGAAAAATATTGTTCAATTCCTTTAATATTTGAGAGAAGTAAAATTAAAAAAAAAAAAACCTAATTTTTCTTGCTGAATAATATGTAAAGAAGGTCATTAATGATTTATTTGCCATGAAAGATTGATAAGATATCTGCAAAGCATGACAAGACCTTCAGTAGACCTTTAGAAATCAATTTGAGAGGAATTACTTCTATGTCCATTCAACTAATTATTTTATAAATAATTGATGTACATTAATAAGACAACAATCAAAAAATCGCTATATAAAAAATTATGAAATTTCACTCACCTCCTTTCTTTTAAAATTGTATCTAACTTTTTCTACAGTTGTATTTTCTGCCAACAGTAATTGTTTTACTTGCAATGACGTTTCGAATATGCACTTGTGCAGCATAACAACAACAACATGTGGCGATGGTGAGGTAATTTTTTTAATCAACTTTTATGTTTTGGATAAACAGAAAAAAATGTAGACATGCTTGTTTTTGTAAATATATCATTCGTTCTATGTTACAATTATTAATAAGGCCCCACATATACATGGTACAAGGTCAATAAATTTGCACATATCTTATAACTGTAAGTTAATTTAAGTGAATGTAAGTATGTACATTTAATATAAGTAAAAATAAATATAGACTTCTGGTTTGATAGAAAATTATTTCTCATTAAAAATTACCAAAAAATTTGAGCCTACGTGAAAATACAACGTATTACAGGCGCTCTTTGATAAATTCATTATCATTATCATTCGAAAATTCTAAATGAATGTAAATGAAAATGTTTCGAGAATCGGTGAAACTTTTTGCCTGTAACTATGTCAAGTCCCTGGATCCTATGGACACAATTCTGTAGACAGTGTGGTTCTGCTTTTCCAGCATTGTTTTGATTTTATAAATATGTAGCAATATTGTCGCCAAACTGCACATTACTTCATTTCTCAGTAAAAACATTTTAATCAATAAGTGAATTCCAACATCACAGTAACTTTACTCAAAGATTACAATTGTTTCTCTTTCAAATATAGTCGCCCGCGTGGCGTAGTGGTTAGAGCGTCTGATCTAGAGTCGCGAAGTAAGGAGTCAATCCTTACGTCGCGGGTTCGAATCCCACTGTGGGATGTGGAGACCGGTCCTTCGGATGAGACCGTATAAACCGAGGCCCCGTGTCGCAGTAGGTGCTGGCACGAAAAAGATCCCTCACTGCTCAAAGGCCTTAAGTGCTGATCATAGGACAAAATTTGTAGCCCTCCACCGGCAAGTGGTGGCGTCTCCATATGAGTGAAAAATTCTCGAGAGGGACGTTAAACAACATACAATCAATCAATTAATCTTTCAAATATAAGCAAAGTTATTAACTAAAACATAATATTTTGAAAAAGACAGCTAGTAATTTTTTAACATTGTATTTGTATTCACATAACCCTTTACTCGAAGAAACAAGATGTGTTTGTGAAAAACTTATGCCCCCGTATGGCAACATAGCAGAGATTAAACTTTTCTTTCATGCAAATTTGATTAATTGGTACCAAAAATTGGGTATTCCCATTGGAAAACAATTAAAGAATTTGAAAGTTGGCCAATGCTTAAGTTTTTTTCAATAAGTACAAAAATTTCCAAGGTCAAGGTAATTGGTATCCAATGAAAGTCTTGCCATAAAGAATACTTATGTAGAGTATGGAAGCGCTAGCCCTAACCGTTCAGAAGTTATGGCCAGGTTTTTTTTTTAAAAAAGGTCAAACTCAAAGGTCAAGGGGTCAAAGTTCTTGGTATTCAATGAAGGGACGTCTCACAAGGATTACATTTGTAAAGTATGAAAGCCCTATCCCTCATCGTTCAAAAGTTATGGCCAAGTTTAAAGGTTTTTCACAAGTATGGAAATCTACTAGGTCAAGGTCAAAGGGTAGAGGTTGTTGGTATCCAATGAAAGGTCTTTCAACAAAGAATACATTTGTGAAGTATAAATGTCCTGGTATAAACTGGTTCAAAAGATATGTCTAAAGAAAAAGTTAAAATTTTTCATGTAAAAGTGGGTCAAACTCCAAAATCAAGGACAAAAGGTCAAATTTGGTGGTACTCAAAGAAAGGTCTTATCAAAAGAAATACACATGTGAAATATGAAAGTCATACCTCCACTAAATGAAAAGTTATGGACAAGATTAACGTTTTTTCGGACAAATAGACAAACAGGGAGCAAAGAGACGGACTACGGGCACGAAAAAACTATATACCCCCGAAACTTCGTTTACAAGGGGCATAAAAATAAAGGGTATACGATTATATGTACTCCATAAATTATAATTCTGTATAATTTGGATATCGCTTCACAATAAAAAATACCTTCAACTTACAATTTTAATATCATGCCTGATTTTAAGGAGTGCTACCTCGAGAAAGTCACAACAGAAAACTTGGAAGTTCACATTAATGCCGGTTGTAGAAGTAAACAGGTTAGAAATATAATAATTTATACATAATATTGTTAATTAAAATCCTTTCTATTTGAATTCTTTTAATTAAAAAAAATCCTTTTTTCTACTCATTATAAACATTTAATGCAATAATTTTAAGTTACAATTTAAACAAAATAAGTAGCAATTAAATGAATATATATCTAAGATTACAATGGTTTGCATGAAAATGTACATAATATTACAATTGAAGACATTGTTAATGTTTCTTGAATTAAAAAATGTAATTTAGGTTTGTGATATTTTGGCGTCTCTTGGTGGAAGGCGAAGGGATATTGTGAACTGTGCCGAATGTTGTGTTAACCCTCCTGGCGCTTCAGAACCTTGTAATTCAAGACTGTGTGGTCAGCAGCCTCTTGGTAAGGCACGTACTTTTCATGTCATAGAATCGAAATGTTTGTCCACTTTTGGGTTAAAACAGTGGTGGTTTGATGTAGCGGTTGCTTTCATGTATTGCTACCAATTTCGTTATAGTATTTCTATGCAGAATTAAAAAAAAATCCAGATTTGTTTTACATTTCAAAAATAAAGAATTTAATCTACATGTGCAGTGTATTTCATACATTTTTGAACGTATATATACTCCTTTATTTTTTCTTTCAGACTCTGTTTTGTTTAAATTTGCTGAAACTTAATTTTTTTCTTTGTCGTAATTATGATTTACAAAATAAAATAAACTTGATATTATTAATCATATTAGATTTTCAAGAGATGATATTTTAAATATTTAAAAATAAATCTCTTATTTTAACTAAATCGACAAATAAATTGTTTTGAAATCAATAAAAAAGGGAGACATTTCGCCATAAAACAAAAATATGGAAATTAAAGTAAAGCAATTTATGGGCCGCGAAAATTCATTCATAATTTAATCAATATATTTATGTTTTCGGGGTAGAGAGGTAAAACGTAAGATTTAAAATATAAATAAAAACCTTATAAATGTTATTGCGTTTAATGCATGTTGTTTGTTGTTAAACACCCTTCTCGAGAATTTTTCACTCACATGGAGACATGGAGAAATTTTACCCTATTCTCGGCACACAGAGCCATTGAGAAGTGAGGGAACTTTTTCGTGCCAGCACCTACTGCGACATAAGGTTTCATCAGAAGGACCGGTATCCACGTCCCACAGTGGGATTCGAACTCGCAACGAAAGGATTGACTCCTTACTTGGCGACTCTAAGACAGACGATCTAACCACTGCGCAACGCGAGCGTATAATGTTTAAATCAACACACAGACTTGTCAAGTGAGCATAATTTCTTGAAGCGCACAATAAGTGGTTTTTTTTTATCTACATAAATTCAAATGAAAACGTTTTTAAAAAAAAGAAAAGAAGATAGGACATTTTAACCTTGATACTGTATCAAAACACAGTATAGTTAAGAAGTGTGCACAATTAGATAGAGAAGGGACGGTTTTAACCTAATGTAATTTAATTAATAAATCATCATTGCACAGAACATCTTATTGTTTTTAAGAACCATCGAATGATATCGATGTACATAACAAAATGTATGCTTATTTTATCCCTCAAAATTTGTTATTAGAGATCAAAATGTAAATTCGGTGGTACTTTTCCAAGTTTCTCTTAATGTTCCAAGGTTAATGGGAAATAATTGTTTGATTGATAATTTGTTGTTTTACGCCCTGTTCAATTTTTTTTCACTCAAAGAGATGTCACCATATACCAATGAACTAAAGGAACTAATAACAATAGAATGTGCTTAATACTTACCAATTCCTGACAGTTACAACTGTGTCACCTTCAGCTGTACCAGGACTGAAATGCATGAGTTGTCATCATGCCCTTTCTATTCACGAATGCAGGAAAACAACAGTGGATTGTCAGCACAACGAGGTGATTATAACTGCTTGCTTTGATGCAGTCACACAGAAAGTCTATAATCTAATGTAAGAATTTTCAAATGAAATTATAGGCACTCTATTGACATACATTTTTTATATAGTTCTATTTCCTGGGAATGGAAATAATGGAAATTGTTTAATCAGCTGACTACTAGTATTCCTTTATTCAAACCTGAAAAGGTCTACACTGTTTTCGATATAATTTCATGTATGCATGTATGCAGAGTTACAAAAACGTCAGATCTTTTTTAGGAATGTTATTTTGAATCCGTTACAACAACTGATCTTAAAGTAAAGTTCAATGCTGGATGCAGAAGTAGAGCGGTATGTTCACATATTTAGACATGAAGGGTCATTCGTTAAATTTCATAATTAAGCATTCACTTAGCTAAAGCAATGTAAAATATTATATCAAGGGAGATGACCGAATATCAATGAATAATTATTACATGGTTATATTGGATGATCAATAATTAAGGATAACACCCGGCATTCTGATATTACGTTATAGGTATGCAATTTGATGAGTTCACTCGGACCAAAAATTGGCAAAAGAGATTTGGTAAATTGTGCTGAGTGTTGCAGTGACCCTCCAGACAGTGATGGACCCTGTAATACAAGATTATGTGGTGAAAGTAAGAATTGAGAGCAAGTTAATATTTTCTAAGTTTGCTCTTTATAAAAAACAGTATTCAATGAAACAATGAAAATCAGGAGACAAATAAAAAAACCTAAGTATTTGTTAACCGGTATTTTTAAAGTACCTTAAATTAATCCCTTGTACATATCCTAAATGCACAGTATGATGAACAATTATTGAGTGGTACCTATACTCGAAGTTGAATTATTTTTTTTAAGTCATGTTTAAATTATATGTCTATTCTAAAAATAAATAGGATACAGTGTTTTTTTCGTTTTTAGTGTACAATATTAATTGTTGATTGTAAACAAGCGATTTTACTCTACCAGTAAATTAAGTTCTACTTAGCAGAAATTCTTATACAGTATGTGCAAAAATACAATGCTTAAGCATTTGTCTTGGATGACTCAAAATAATTTAATTTGTACAATGATATTTTGTTATTATTATCTATTAATAGAAGAATAAATCTTACAGGCTCTGCTCCACGCTGCTTAGTGTGTAATGGTCTACAGACCTCTAGAGCAGATTGTAAGTCCTCGGCTATTTGCCCTCAAAATCAGGTAAAAAAAAATTGCCAAGTACCAGCAATCATATTTTGCACCAATAAATTCTATACTAAACAAAAAAAGAAACGCATAATCAGATTAAACTTGATAATCTAAGTTTTCAGTTTAATATTTAATTTTTTAAAAGTGAATGTAGAGGGTTTTGATAAAAATCAAACATGCCCTGTGTTGCCAGTAGAAAGGGAAGTTTATGTCAGTGTCGAGCCAGCAAATTCTGGGCCATACTGTCTAAAACAGTCCATATGTCCTTTGCCATGTCTATGCGCTGGTGGATTTCCAATGTATGGATATTGTGCACGAATACCAGCTCCTATCAGTCTATTGCGAACAATTTATGGACTTATATGCTGATTTTTTCATCCAGCAATTATAGCAGCAGTTTTTACAGCAATTGTGAATCGCATGAGGTGCTTAAAAAAGAGGGGGGGGTCTGACGGTGCTGCCTGGGTGTGGTTAACTGCGGATTGCCAATTATTGGTCTTCTGACATTAGTTAAGCGACTGCAAAGCCCATTGATGTATTCCAAATGCGGTTGCAACTTCCTGTTGCGTAGCTCTGTTTGATATCATCGTTAGTCTGGTTGTGTTATTCTTTGTTTCGGCGTGGCATTGCAGCATCTACACGGCAGTCAAATCTTTAATATGGGTTTAATTGGGGTGTTTATAGTTTCTCTAAATCCAAAATATCAAAGAAAATATCCGATTTAGAAGAGATCATGAAAAATACTACTTTCAAAAACACATTTATTCAAGGGAGATTATTCACCACTGGGGATTTAAAACCCCATGTTGTCCTTTAAATAGGTCACAGGTATCCAATGATATGAATGATAGTTGTTCCAACTACTTTTTAAAAATTTCATTGACGATTTAACCAATATGCGTTTCTTTTTTTGTTGAGTATAGTATAGAATAAAAAATGTAGAAATGAAATTAACAGTTTCATAAAATTTCACCACAGTAAAAATGCTTGAAAAAAAGACGAAAAATGATGATTTTACAAGTATATTATAAAAGTCCATTTGATGTTCAGGATGACGTTTACTTAGGTTTCAGAGAACGGAAAGAAAATTTTATAAAGTATAATATATTAAATAAAAAATTGTTCAAAATAGATAAAATAAGCAAGTTTTAGCTTACTCATAATTAATTAAACAATTTGATATTTTATTATTTGAAGAAAATATGCAGGAACAAATGTCATTGCATGGTAATGCAGAGGGAATTTGAACTAAATGTTTAATTTTTAATTTTTGTCATTTTTTTTTCTTCATTTTTTTGCGATATTAATCACAATGTAAAGCTGACATGCATTTTTAGACATCATTTTTCAAATGTGATATGTGTTCAAGCTCATAAATTAGTTCCTATAATTGAATGCGATGAAATAAAGAAATTGAAAAATATGAACAAAAACCATTTCAGGCAACATATTTCAATAATTTGATCATTGACCCCATATAATGTTAATACCATGAGAAACAGGACAACAAAAGTAACATGGGGCTATAGATAATTAAGAGTTCTTATCATTCAGATTTTTGTAGTATTCAATTAAGCAATTAACAATGGGAAAAATGTAGATATGACAGATGAAATTCGGACTGTAATAATTATCAAGTTTAATTTATGACCCAAACTCTAATGATTTCTTTATATGAAGCAACGCTGTTCCATTGCTATAATAATTTATTATTTAAAGAGTTTTCTTGCTTGTAATATTTTGTGGGTGAACAAATGGTCATAGTGTGAAAAATTGGGATATTTCCCGAGAAATTCTAAGAGGCCACTAGCATGAAAAGTAGGTCATTGACCCAGTTATTTGAAAGTGAAATTTAACACAAGAATCATAGGTGTACAATGCGTAATAAGTGGGGGTTGTTGTTCTCATCAGTGGAACTTTTAGTTATCTGAGTAAAGGTACACCTTAAAAATCTTCAATTTAGCTCATAAATTTATTTTTGTATAGACATGTTACAATGGGGTACGTATTGTTGGTTCCTCGTCCCTTCAGTACGTGTATGGTTGTGAAGAAGAGCAGGTTTGTTATCTATACGTTAGGCCTATGTGTATCCTAAACAGATCTTCATTTTAAGTTTGACATACCTATTTTAACCTGTATTTATTAAAATGTGGGTTAGACAAGAGAATTTAGCCCTGTCAATCTTGTAATAGTTTTAAAGCCTTTACATGCAATTTTCTCAAAATAGCATTAAAATAGGAAAAATACTGGTTTCTTTACTCAATGATTATTTGGTAGTATTCTAACTCTTATTTTAATTTAAATATGATTTTATCAAATGTTTTTAAAGATGTTTTGTGTACTTTTTAAAAGTTTTTAAAAGAAAACTATTTTTTCTTCGAGCACTTTTGAAATCATTGCTTCATTTTACTTTTTGCATTGAATCATGTCAAGATATTACATATGAATATGTGAATAGTCACAAATTAAATAAACTCTTAATGTTTTCATTAGAAATGTAACATAATTATAAAAGTTTTTTAAAAACTCGATTCCATGAATTACTTTAACCTCTTTCATTTTGGTAAAAAAAATTATTATTTAGACTTGCCAAGCATTCGCTAAGAATTATCATCATTATCACAACAATCAGCATGTCGGTAGATCCGTGCCCGATAGATCCGCATCCGGTAGATCCGTCTCCAATGATGGCGGAGTAATCGTATGTGATTCTTGTTGTAAAGACGACATGTGTAACGCCCAGGATTGCTTTGCTTTATTGAAAAGTAAGACACATACTCACTTGTTCTGTGTATTTATGCTTTAGACCAAACACCGAAAAAAATCTGACAAACACAATATTTAAATACTACTTGAAATGTAATTTAAATGATAAACTCCATAAGCCTGTTTTAAACGATTTAAAGGAAGATAAAGGTGATAGGAATACATCTTTTACAAAGTATTTTATATATAGAGGGAAAATTTCGCCCCCGTTTTATTTTCGCCCTATTTAAGGTGGATGAATTTAAAACGGGGCGAATCAACAGACCACAGCATAATTTTTTAACATAACTGTGACTGGGTGAATTTAAAACGGGGCAGAATTGTTTGCAAGAGTAAAAGGGCGAAAATAACCCTGTATACAATATTCATCATGAATAATTCAGAAAGCATAACATGGTATTTTTTGTTTTATTTGTAGATATGACAGTAAATATGTTTGATACAACACAAATGCAGACCGGTAATGTCATTGGATAATCTCTGTCTAATTATAATGAAATAAACAATTTTCTGTAAAGTATATATTTTTAAAGACAAGTGCATACAAAAGTTTGATGTGGCATTTGAAAGACAGACTTAAAATGTATGATGTTAAGGCAGAAGAAACTATTTAGGGAATCAATGGACTAATTTCTTGCGAAAAATATACCATGGATATCGTTTTAAGCTTTCCTTTATTCGCTGGAGAGTTTTTATATTTTTGATAAGGCTATCGCTATTAACTGGTATTTGAAACAAAACTGAGAATATATATAGTATACGTGCTTTGTTTGATACAACCATTGGAAGCTGCATAAATCTTTCACTCATAGATGATGCTTACCAAAAATATTTTTCCTCTGTATCTATCAGCTAATCTCAACCATTTTGACCTATATAATCTATCAATGACGGAAAAGAATATATTTGAATGTCAGTGTGTCTGCCCTCTGGGGCCTGAGCCAGCCTAAATCAGTCTGCAAAAGTCCTTCTTAACATCAAGCAATTAAATGATAGTAATAAATAGTCTCTTAACACCGATTTTGAAATTCATGATCCTATAGGATTACGGGTTTTGTTACCGGGTTCTTAAATTTGAAATGATTATTTTGCATTATTTAATTATATATATCTCGACAATATCGCTAAATCCAGCAAAATAATTCCCATTTGTACTATATTATACTCTTTGAATCCTTTGTAGTGTTCTATTTTATGAGATGACCGTAAAACCGCTTTTGAGTTTTTCTGTTCACTTTATGACATATTGTAATATTTAATACTTTCTTGCATTATGTGTTGTTAACATCATTCATCTTGCATGTAAATAGCAAATGTTTTGAAGGATATACTGCATTCCAATTAAGTAACTGAAAAAGTCAAGAGTTAAACCTTTCTAAAATTTACCTTTACAATACTCAAGGGACGACTTTTTTTACCAAAAAAAAAAAAGAAAAAGAAAAAAAGAACCACAAGCAAGGGGAAGAAAAATTAATCCTAATGTTATTTTATCCTAATTATATCGTAATCACTCTTCTGCAGCTGTATTTACATTTCAATACTTTAAAATTCAGACAGCAGTGCAATTTGGGAGATATTTAAAGATTAATACACTAAATGCAATTAAAATCTGTTGAAAAAATACAATGCTATGTTGTGTTGTGTTCTGTCTTTGTAGACATGTAAATTTCTGGCAGACAAATTCAGCAAGGCCTCCTACAAAGTGTGCATTACATCATAATACGTTCAAAACAATAGATCACTGATTCTTAACTGAAATGATTCATATGAAAGATAATAAAAACCCACATCTTATTTCTATGTATATACTGATCATTTTAAGAGACAGCTACTGGATGAAATATCATAATGATTTTTTTTTAAAGTTTTGAGGTAGAAACAACTTAAAGGTATACGAGATATAACAAGACATATACAATTTTAGTAGGAGTTCACAAGGACATTGTAAAGAAAGGCAAACTCATAACGATACAAAGATATACAATTTTAGGGTAGGCTGGTTGTCATTTTCAACTTCATTGAAATAAACATTACCTTTTCGTTTAAAATTTTGAAATATTTATATCGTGGCTGAAGTTAAATACAGTAAAAGTCAGACTTCACGGATTAATACTGTTAGCTTAAGTTTAATACAGTAAACGATGAGTTACTGTGGTAAGCTATAGTCTAAGAAATGTTTACTCTTGTAAATTAATGTGTGAATGTTTATTTTTAACAATTTACCTATTCTGCCATTTATAAAAATAATTCCACATCTAAGGATATCAATTAAATGATACACATAGTTGTTTTCTAAATCTTAAATCCACAACTGTTGAATATTATTAATTCCAGTTTTCATACATGTATGTGATCCTTAAATGAAAATATAAATTACATATTGAAAGGATGTGTTTTTTTTAAAAATACGAAATGCTTGTTTGTAGCCTTAGAAATATAAACGAAGTACAGGATAATAACAAGTAAATATTCGAAGACAATCGAAATATCATACGAAATCATCAAATGATC